TCCGGACGGGGCGGCATGGTGTCGCTGACGGAGCGCCAGGGATTTCCACTCCCCGCCCCACACACAGCCCCGACCCCGATCTCCTTTGGGGTTCTCCCAGTTCCCGACCTCAGCTCTCTGCAGGTGGAAGCCTGCACCACGGGGAGGATGCGGCCCCCCCGCCCTCGCTGGATTCGATGGCCAGTGGGTGGAGATTCTTTGGAGTCGGCCAAGCTCTCCCAGCAGAACACACCGGCTGCCGGCGAGCAGGCTGCAGCCTGGGTTCGGATGGTCCCACCCGTGCCGGCACCACCACCGACTCACCATGGGCCGGGAGAGTGGGTGGCGGCAGCCGCTAAACATCTCTGAGCCTCATTTTTTTCAGCACAAGGAAGCGAGGGGCCTGGCAATTTCTTGCTGCTTGGCGGGCGCCTGGCGGATGAGAAAGCCGCCTGCGACCTAGAAAGGCTGACCAGGGCAGAGCCGGGCCTGAGACCCACCTTGTATGTCTGGATGGTCTCACTGGAGTAGGGCCTGGGTGGGGCACAGCCCATGAAAGTGCCTGGGGCCCAGCTGGGACCTAGGGGAGTATTGTGAGGGTCCCCGATCAGAGTAGAGGCGGAGTCAGGCCATCTGAAGTGAATCTGGCCTCCACCGCCTACTGGCTGTGTCCTTGGTTGGGTCGCTTTACCTCTCTGAGTGTTGGCAGAAAAACTGGGCTAATAGTTGTTTCCACTCTGAGGGATGTCAGCGTCAGTGAAGTGTGGACTGGTTAGTGCTGCCCCCTAGTGTTGTGCAGAGAGGATGCGGGGAGAAGGGGGCACCTGAAATCCACATCCCCTCCTTGCCTGTCTTGGCTTTGCCACATCTGTCTTGCCCCAAAGCAACATCTGCCCAACGTGAGCACCAGCTGCTTGTTCAGAAAGGTGCCCAAGCTCTGCTTGGCACAACAGTGCAACTGTTCGCGCTGATGATGATGATCATAGGAGGAGCTCAATAAATTGGTCTATGTCCTTAGGAATGACACCCTTCTTTCTTGTGCCTCATTTTCATGGTCTTGGAGTATAAAATATTTCGTCCTGACGGGGGTGGAGTTGAAATGTACACCGGTAAAGGAGGTGCTGTCCACTGCCACCAGTGGGCAATTCAGGCCAACAAAAGACCCCAGTACCCCTGGGAGCCTCAACAAGCTGCATTTTTCTGATCCTAGCTACTCTGAGCCTCACTGGGGTCCTGTACTAGCAGCTGGACATGGAGGCTCTCATTTAATTTTGCAAAAAACCTTGAAATAGGATATCATTATTTTACCTATTGTACAGATGGGAAAACTGAGGCTAATAGGTTCATCGACTTCCCTAAGGCCACCTAGCATGTCCTCCGGTGTCCCTGAACTGGGATTCAGCCTTCCTCAGACTCCACCTGCCTCAACACACACACGCGCGCGCGCACACACACACACACACACACACCCATCCACTCACTGGAGACCTCCCTGTCCCAGCCTTGTCTCTTCTCATGGGAATGAAGAAGAGACGGGTGAGGAAAGAACATTAAGTACCTACTGTATTACAGGCACCCTCCATAATTCACAACCACCTGGTGACGGGACTTTTATTCCATTTAACAACTGAGAAAACGGAGACTCCAGGAGTGGAAAAGGGCAGAGCATGGCCCAGACCAGGGCTGTCTGATCCCCTCCACCACCACTTCTGGGTTCTCCTTGGGGTTGTGCCTGTGCCTGTTGCTCATCTCTCTTCCAGAGTCTGAGATTCCCTGCTAGACCTGGGACCAGGATGTTCCCATCTGGTTCCCAACCGGGTCGAGAGAAAACCACTGGGTAGAGTTGGATTCTTAGTGTTGTGTGTGTGTGTAGGAGCCGCCATGCTTCCATACCCCTCCCAGCATCCCCAGCGGGGCTCCCCTACTCTGGCAGTGTGATGCTCTGGAGGCAAGGCTGATCATGTCCCCCTCTCACCACTCATGGGGGCCCTCTGTCCTCTCAATAGCCCCAGGTCGGGTCTCTGTGCTCCCACTGGCTGTGCGGCCTGGGGCGGCCGCGTCCTCTCCCCCCCACCCCCCCACCCCCCCCAGGAATCTGCACTCCCTAAGACAGCCATCTTCCACTGGGGATGATGTCTAGGTCAGGCTTGTATTCAGAGCCTCTTCTTCAGGTTTTTATATCTCCAGAACCTCTGTCTACCTGTCACCCTAGCTCACTCCCCCTAGAGCAGCGGTCGCCAACCTTTCGGACCTCACGGACCACCAGTGGTCGGCGGACCACCGGTTGGCAACCGTTGCCCTAGACATAGTCTGGGGGCAACCTCAGCAGCACCCCCAGCTTGTCTTGGCTCTCAGGGATCCGATTCAGATTGGCCTCCATGGCAACCACAGCCCACCAGGCCCCAGTCCAATGTCCCCACCCTCTTTTCTGCCCCCTCCACACCCGGCCCATTTTCCGGGCCGCACCTGTGCCCAGGCTGCTCCCCTTACCTGGGCTGCCCTCCCCACAGCTCCCACCCAGTCCAAGGAAAGCAGCACCGTGTAATGGAGAAGAGGGCAGGCCCTGCGTCCAGGCAGGCAGCCGTGGACGGGAAGCTGACCTGGCCACTTCCTAGCAGCGGGACGTGGAGCACGTGCCTTAATCTGCCCATAAATAGGAATGGTAACACCTCCCTCCCTGGGTTCCCAGGAGGATTAAATACCCAAACCTCTGAGAAGCAGAGCCTGATGCCTGGTGAGTGATCGATGAACATAGTTATTATTATCATTAGCACAGTGCGGGGCACAAGTGGGCATTCGGGAATGGTAGCCCTTATATCACAGCCAAAGCTCTGGAACTGCGAGTCCTCTCTCCTCCCTCGGCTCCTGACTGTCTGCAAATGAGATTCCGAATCCTCCATCCAGCATCTTCCCTGTCAGCACAGCCCCAACCTCCTGCCCTCCGGGAGCCCCTGCTCCAGCCCCTCTGAACCCCACTCAGTTCCTGCTTCCTTACCTCTGAGCCTGTGTTCCCTCTCCCTCCTGCCAAGGGCACCCTCCCCTTCCTGTGGGGGATCCCTGAGCTCCTATGCCACCTCCCCTGTGACCCTCCCTCACTTTTCCACCTGCCGGTGAGACCCGCACCGCAGCCTCTGCTAACTCTCCAACCCGGGCACACAGGAAGCCATGCTGTCATTCGGCAATGCGGTCTGTCGTCCACTAGGCTGTGTACTCCCCCAGGCAGGGACCAGGCCTGATTGTCTTTGTGTCCCCAGAACCCACCTGGCATGGAGTCCAGCCCACAGTGGTATCAGCAGAGGCTGGTCCCAGCCTGCCGCCCGCCTGGAACTCCGTCAGGGGCTGGGGCACGGCACACATGCGGGACGCGTGGGGTTGGTGAGGGCAGCTGAGCAGCAAGGTTTACAGAACCCCACGGCAGCAGCAGGGGGAACAGCTGAAGCTGGGTCAGCAGGCTCCGGGCACAGCCAGCCTAAACTGGGGGTCAGGGGCCCAGGGCCCTTTCACTCCCCCAGCGGCACAGTGTAGACGGCGTGATGTGAGACACCCCAGGAGGGGCCAGGGATGGGGGTGGGCTTTCTCCCATCAGGCCAGGACAGAGCTGGTGCTGAGGACCCCATCATTCCGGCTGGAGTACGGGCCTCAGGAACACCTCTGGGTGAAAAGGGGAGGGGCACAGCCCATCCGATGCGTCCATGTGGTGGGCGAGGTGCCAGCAGGTAGAGTCCCACATGCAGAGCTCCCTCTAGGCTGCAGGAGGTGGGGGACCTGGGTGGGCAGGTGGGCGAGGCAGCAGGGGGTCCTGGGAGCCTAGTCCAGCGGTCCCTGGAAAATGAGGCGGACACAGCCATGCTCGCCGGTGAGCCAGGCCCCACAGAAGGGGCAGGCGGCATGGAAAGCGTGCGTGCCATGGGGCAGCGGTGTCTGGGCCCAGTAGCGGGCAGTCTTCTCAGAGCAGACATGGCCGCAGGGTGCAAAGGCGTGGCTGGGTGGTCCGGGGTCCAGACAGAGGCCGGCCTCCTGGCCGAGCCACAGGGGCACATAGGGCCCCACGAGACGGCAGAGAGGACACTCGCGCTCCTGGGGACCCCGCTCTTGCCGACAGCCCCAGCCGTGGTAGCCGTGGACATGGCCGCAACGAACGTAGACCCAAGGCTGCTGCTT